GAGGGATAAGGGCACCCCCTTTGACTGAAGTACTTTGGCGCCTTTAAAACCTTCATACTGCATGAGCTAGCTTCCCCTGTAATGTGTTGACTGGCTCCTGTGTCATATGTGTAAGTCGAGTATAAGGACATGAATTTTTTACTCCTACACTAATTGTTATTGTTATTATCACTATTTTAATGTGTCGTTTTATGATTTTTTTTATTATTTGTGTTTGTCGTAAATGCTTAAATTTATTTGTTTTAAACATTCCTCGTTTGCTTTTATACCTGTAGATCACGTGATCTAGCTTTCCCTGTAATGTGTTGACTGTTGACTAGCGCATCTGCCATCTGTTATGCCACATGTAATGGGCTAGCTTACCCATATAATATGTGACCCTGGCAAATGTGACCCTGGCAAATGTGACATCTGTTGTGCTATGTCAAGTGCATGATTTTTATTGTTCTTGCTATTATTATTATTGTTGTATTTGTTTTCATCATTTTTATTTCCTGTCAGTGTATATCGTCATTCCCTTATCTCTGTTATTTGTATTGTCTGCCTATCTTTATCATTTGGTTTGTGTATTCGTGACAATTGTTTTCTTAATAAGTTAAATCATCTGTTTCCGTTCCATATATTGAGTGTACCTCTATCCATTTTGTGGTTGGTTGCTTAGTGTTTGAGCATTCCCAATGGTATAATAGTTTTAGGAGTGCCACCTAGAAGAGAGAGTGTAGGTTTTAAGGATAAATTATGTTAAAAAGTGTATTTTACTTTTAGGGTTGCCAATGGTTAGTTTAGGATGAAAGATAAAATTAACTAAAATGTGACAAGTATTTAATGTAATCTAATTTTTAAGTAATAAACAATCCTATGTGGCACCTTAAAACTCTTTTAAGTCCTTGGCAAATTTGCTAGGTGCCTAAAAGTTTTTAACTCTAAAAACGTTTCTAAAAGCACCATTGGTTGTGGTTTTTTACTAAAAGTACTATAAAAGTGTTTTTAAAAGCACCATTGGGAATGCTCTTAGTGTTATGTTAAGACTTATGAGTCACTTGATTGCTATACTTGTATTTGATCGTAAATACACATTATCATAAGATTTTAAATCTAGAGCTTCTTATGGTCTCCACATATTAACATTTAATACTTTGCATTTTATTTGGTTTAATGTATTGACTTTCATTGAGCCATTTTTCTTTTACTACATTGAAGTTGTTAGATGTACATGTCTTCAGGTACTTAGGATTAAGCAATTCAGCTGCTCTCATGCGTGATGCCATGCAAATATGCTTTGGCAAGTTAATAATGACAATTACTTTCATAAATATATATTTTGCACGAGTTGTTCTCTCTATGTCTGCAGGTACGCGCGTGATGTTACACAATGGGTAGCGAAACACCGAATATGTCATTTGATCAGGTGAGTAAAAAAGAAGTTAACCTTATAGAAATCATGATATATGCGTCTGTGTTTCCTATGCGTTTGCAGGTTATTCTGTGATGCTAAGGTACATGTATTTATTATTTAACTATTTCAGCGCCTTTGAAAACCTGTAGGCCACATGTTTTAGCTTCATAATAGGACATGAGTCCTCAGACTTTATAGTAATTATCACTATAATAATAAATAATTGTATGTCTTCTTTTACTAATCACTTATTTATATTCAATGCATGCGATTGGCTTTTACAAGTTTTATGCATGCTTTTACAAGTTTTATGCATGCTTTCTTCATTTTTTTATTCGACATACTTTGTTAATTGTTATTGTTGAGATGTTTAGTCCCATATTGGATATTGTCGGGCCTTGCTAGTAATATTTAAGTTCCTGGGCTACACCACTCATTGCCAATTGGTTTCAAGTTGGACCCCCAGGACTTCTATAGTTATTTATTGTTTTCTTATGTGTACTTTTTTTTCTTTGTAATCCT